GTATACTTATTTTTAGCCACATGATGGCTCTGTCGGTAGCGTGTCTGCCTACAGATCTTGATGGCCGGGGTTCAAATCCCACTCTGGACAAAAATTTCATCAATGAATGAGGTTTTTTTCCAGATGAGATTTGTACTTCAATAAACCTACCGATCTATCTACTGTTTCCCCCTACTGTAATTAAAGCCAACGTTTGGCTAAATACACTTTATAGTGTCAAACTAGCCATGTCTGAGCCCTTAAGGGGCGATGATGAATATAAAAAAAAAAAAAAAGGTATACTTATTTGTATATCAGACAGGAGTACGAGAGCACTGCTGTACCGTATATGCGAAGCGCGCGCTCCGTTCGATTGCTCACTTGCCGTCAAATATCTGTACCTTACACTGAGAGACCGAATCGTTCATAGTTAACATATATCTTAATTATAAACAATCCGGTCTCTCAGTGCAATCACAGGATCGATGAAATAGAGCTTTGCTCGGGAAAAAAAAAAAAAAAAAAAAAAAAAAGGATGTTCAAATCACTGAAAGGAGCCAGAGTTTGTCCCCGCGAAGCTCCGCGCTCTCGTCGAAACCGCAGTGAGGTCCGCGGCGTAAAAATCGTCCCGCGGTACAATTAGCCGAGAGCGCGTGTCTAACTGTAAATTTAAGTACCCGCCTGCTCGGAGGAGGAGTAAGAACAAAACGTATAACTTGAGCAGTATTATATGTAAGTACTTGTGGCGTGGAAATTATAAAATCGAGAATGCAAGCTCGGCTCTGGCATTTTATTATTTTAAGTTATTGGCTCAAGGATTAATACTTGAATGTTGTTGTTGTTGTTGTTGGTACTATAAGTACTTTTTGCAAGCAAATGAACCTTTGGGCTGTTTCGCGCCAATTTTCCTCCAATTGTGCCAAAAGTCTCCCTGTACTTATTACGTCCATTTGACACGACCTACAGATAGGTATACCTGTACGCGAAGGCAGTTTAGAAATGGGGCGATATACCTAACTGTGTAATTTTGTAGATGTCGAGCTGTACTGCATATTTTTTAAGTTAACTGGCTATGAAGCAAAGAGAGAGAGTCGTATTTTCTCGTCACTTTGCGCGCACGGCAATGGCCAACATTCAAAGTTTTACGGACAAGCAGCGAACAGATGGAGATGGATCGAGCCGAGATAAGAGTGAGCGTGTACTACTCTTATATTATACTCTGTACCATAAGAGTACGTGTATATGTGTATACACAAATGCACGACGCGACGAGTGTACTCACAGGAAACTGAAGAACAAAGGGACTTTGCCTATAGCTATGGGACAAGTACTTATAATATAAGTATATAAGTATACATACATGTTAGGTATATCATACCTTATACACTTTGTAGCCCGTGCACTCTCCACGGATGGATCAACTGATTTTCCGTCTTTAACGTACGTAAACATAATTATGCATGTTTGTACGTACCTCGTGTATGCCTAATGCCCAATAACCCAATGTACCTACTTAAAAAATACTCTCGATTTAATTAATTTACCCGTGATGAAAAAAACTTCCAAATGGATAATTGTGCAAGTATCCACACCTATACGTCCGTGGATATATTTACGGTACGCGGTGGTCCAATCAAGGCTGCCACATAGTACATATATATTGTATATGCGCTACGGGATCACACAAAGCTGCAATGCCTGCCCGGATCGAGTGTAAGTACCTCGTTGTGTATATATTACAATGTCATACGGAAAATGACGCGGTACAAGTTATAATCCATACAAAACTCCATGCACCAACATTCGTATGGCTAGGGTCCAACTACTACTGTATTACATTGTATAATGACACGTACACGGCTACACGGTATACGCGTTATATTATTATTTATCTTGATGTGTACGCGTATAGGTATCATCCGTGCATAAACGTGCAGACAAGATTTTTGTTTAATTTCATGCGATCTAGGGAGTCATAGGCAAACACGTGCGATGTTCCATGTATTCGATACTTATCGTGATTCAACTAATAATTGCGGTGGTGCTGGGTGCAATATAGTGTGTTGTTACGCGCGATGAATATACAGAGGGATAAATACTATAAGTAGGTAATATGCTCCGAGGCAGGATACTTAATCAACAAAGAAAATTTCATTACTCGTTGAGTCGTATTAAAGTGGAGATATACATATGTATGGGTATGTTAGAATGGTTGCATAATTATTGTGGTGCTCGTGTTGAAATCACCGAAACATAACAATAAACAATATTCCGCAGTCGAGTTATTATTTGGCTTTTCGCACCGCCGTCCCACGAACCTCTTCATCGCGAATGACGCGCGTGCTCGCTAAAAGTAAAATAAAATAAGTAAGTACCTAGTGAGAAAAGGCACGCGCTGCTTTTTTTAAAAAACATTTTCCACACATTGCCTCCCACAACTTAATGAACGCGCATCGATCCACAAACAAATACCTATACATATTTATATGCAGGTATACGGATAGTTACGTGCAGATGAGCCGTCGCAGCTAGTCGTGCGATACTGATTGTTCTTCCCGATCATAACTTACATTTCTTATTATTCTTTCAAACTGTACACTTCAAAACTGTATACTTGCGATTTAATTTACTTACTGTATATATATTTGTAAAACTAGATCTAAACATGTATTACTATCACTTTTGTTTATATTATCATATGTATTTTCCTGGAGGGCCAGACATGGCTAAGCCACAAGGCCTCAATAAAGTTCAATCAATCAATCAATCCTTTCTGTCGCCGTGACTGCAGTTTGATGCTGCTCTTTTATTTGCCTATCGTATAACTATACTTATTGTACCTCCTTCGAGGCATGACGTTTTAATCTTTTAGTTTTACGGATTTCAATCTTTTCTTATTTTTCAATAACCGTGCGTGTCTCATGATCTCACAAAATTTTCGTCAAACTCTTTTCGTTATACTATGTCCAATCTTTTTTTTTTTTTTTTTTATACATATATCAATCGGGGTCTCGGGAACGTTACTCGCGGCTTCATCCAGGTTGATCCGATTGTAGAGTCCTTTACATCGATGGTCGTAAAATGCAACGGGGCAGAGAGGAAAGGGGTGGGGGGAGGGGGAGCAGGCTTCTAGAGTACGTACTTAATGATATTAGGTGCAGGTTTTTGCCGATAATCGAGCCAGCGGATGTAAATAATACTTGTAGTATTGGAAAGGCGACAGGTGTGGGGAATTTAGGTGGTCGGAAGTCGGTGGGTGCTATTACCCATTTGCCGTGACTGTGGACTTGTGTAGGTACTTTTGTTCCCTTGGCTCAGCTGCTCTTGGATACTTACGTATTCGGAGCAGAACCGAGTCTTGGGATTAATTCGGAATGGAGATCGCTGCTGCCGCACAGCTAGATCTTTACTATATACATATATTGTGACACCCGCTCGGTCGCTCTGTCCTCCTGATCCCCCTTTTTCTCGTTGACACAAGTATACATGTAACATACACCTACTTATTTTCATCCTCTTAATTCCTTCGCGCTCCCATACTTTTATCATAAATATTATTGTTATTGTATGATGATGATGATGATGATATGTGTATTTGTATACCTAACTGATGAAATATTTTTTCACCGTCCCATCGCTTGTACACCTGTAGATATAGTATAAATATGTTATACTTGTTCCGAACGGATGTGAAAATGGTCAGACCGGGGTGAATGACAAACAACCCGAAATGTTACTCAAGTGGGTATTTTGCGGTCATCGGTCTGCCATTATTGCTTTGCTCCGGTGTTCGGACCACGGAAGCGCGATGCGACTGTTTCGATCTTAAGAAATAAAAGTGGGAGCGAAACGGTTTAGCCCGTGAGTATACCTATACTCATTTGGCGAGCATATTTACGATTCGCGGGCAAAATTTTTAGCGGTGCACAATGGCGAGAACCACCTCCTGCCCTAGTTTCGCGCACGGGACTGAGGGGGGAGGCCGAAGAAATGGTAGAAAACGAACGGACGTACAACGGGCCTTTTGTTTCGAGCTGTAAAAAAGAAGAGCGCCATTCGTTCAAACGCCGGACATTCCGGAAACAAATTGGTCACGCTCAACTATATATGCAGGTATGGTATATACACCTATTGCGCGTATATAAATGCTATTATGATAATAATAATATATGCTCTCTTGTATATATAATATATACACACACTTACTGCAGGTAGTGCGAGTACCATATCGGTACTTATAATTAAATGTACTTACATGCAGCTGCAAAGGAAAGTAGAGAAGAGAGAAAAGTGTGCCAGAGGCATGTGTTTATATAAATATGCACCTACGTATAATATACGAGTATACATAAGCACAGAGTGTAGCATTAAAAAAGGGCTAGCCTGGGTTTTTAAAAGATTAGGACCGGAGTTTTTTTTCAAAGAGACTTGCAGGCACGCGCGCGAGTATATATATACAGGTATGATAAGTAGGTACTGCGTCGAACAAAGAATCATTTGAGAGTTGGATTGAGGAAAAAGAGGCCAGCGCCAGGAGAGATAGCGGATGGTAGCGCGTCCGATGGGGTACAATGCATTAGGTATATGGCTCGCAAAAATTTAAATAATACGATAGGTATTACAATGAAGGAAATACCAATGATGCCTACTGGGCTTGGATATATAAACACCATGCCTACTTATAAGCCTTGTGTATTTTTGGCGCTACGAAAACAATAAAGCTCTATGCAAGCCACAACTTCTTATGTATTTATATACGATATAACACAACACCACACACGTGTGCGTGCCTGCCTCGCAATGTATACCTATACTTGGATGATTCGTTACAACAAACCCATCTGTGAAAGCTCCGAATGAGACTTATTACCTGCATTTTTTGTATCTTATTACTTTTAATTTAAAAATGCAAACAGGTAAAAAACCCCCCTTTTTTTTTTTTTTTTTTTTTTCAGACACGATGCTAATGCGCAACACATAAACACGTAAAATAATAATGAAACCCTTTAACCATGTTCCAGGAAGAGTACGTGTCGGAGAACATAAGGTGGACGCCGATCGACTACTTTAACAACCACGTGGTCGTCGAGCTGCTCGAGGGAAAGAGGCCACCCGGGCTCTTCCTCATCCTTGACGACGTATGCGCGACTCTGCACGGAGGCAGTACCGGAGCTGACAACGATCTTCAAAAGGTATACTCGCACATCATATTGCCTACTTACATATTCTCGCTCGCTCAATCTTTTTTTTTTTTTTTTTTTTTTTTTCCCTCACGGAATTTCAGTCTCCAGGTCGGGCTCGCATTTGTTACACCTTTTTTCTTTCTCGATTCATTTGAATATGTAGTGACGTCGAGCGCGAAAAGAGCCAACACCAGCTAATTATACGATGATAATACCAACACATAGGTGGTGTGTATCCATGTAGATGTGAATGCATCGCATAATATTGGTGTGTACCCCTATATGTATATGCATTACATGGCATCCTGTGAGTCGAGCCTATTATATTATTCTTGCTGAATGAACTGCAATAGTTTATGTAACGCTATAAGAACATGTCTGTATGTATGTATACCTATCCCCATCCATACGTGTGCTCGAGTGAAATATATTTTAGCTGCAATGCACCGCCGCGCTTGTGAGTATAGGTACGGGTGGATCGATCGACTCGTATTATGAAGAATTTTCCCATGGCTCGCGCAACACTTTTTCGATTTCTCTTGATGAATTTTTTGATCAGTTTTTAAAATTGCTCAACGCATGCGTGTACCTACTTAGTACCACCTACCGAAGAAAAAATAAACTCGCGTAACAAGAAGTAGGTACTTATCATCGAATTACCAATGATAATGATGGTGCATTGAATCCGAGTGATGGCTCCCCTACACGTGTCAGGGGTAACCAATCATCACACCATCTTACACCTATCTCTAAAAAAATACAATCACTTTGGTATATATATAATATATGCACTCTATATGTACTTAAGCATTTATATGGATATTTTGGGTTATTTATGTGGATATTTTGTAGAATTTCATTAATGCGGCCAACAGTCACGCTCACTTCCAAAGCACCAGCGACGGTTTCACCGTACTTCATTACGCCGGGAGCGTTTCCTACTCGGTCGAGGGTTTTTGCGACAAGAATCGCGACGTTTTATTCCTGGACCTCGTCGAGCTCATGCAAACCAGCACAAAGTAAGTGTAAAATATTTATTTCCCATGCACCGTTCCGACGAATTACGTGTATATATCAGGGTTACAATAACCGATGCATCACATGCATCAGCTTATAAGTATGCACCTATATATAACTAACTACACATCTAATAAATAGATGATGTATACGTACTTATATCAAGTGTGTATATACTTTTACATGTTGCGCAATACCTACTCATCTCTCCCTGCATGATACATGTGTGGCATCGCATGCCGCATTGCCGCTCCGTTCTCGGGCGAGACCCGCGGTTCCCACACAAGCACGTGTATATACCTATACCTATACTAGGGATCTATTTTTTATTTGTCATCGATCGATGCTCTTTACTTATGCAGTATACGTTGCACAACCGATAATATACATATACACATATACTGACTTACGGATATACACCAACACACCTTTATATATGTACAAAACCTACCTGTGCCAAACGTTACGTGAACTGCAAACATACAAGTAGCTGTACCAAAACGGCTCAACACACCACCGTAGCTTGATAAATTTAACCTATGTATGTACTTACCTACTTGCTTTGTTTGGCTGGCTAAAGATAAACTGAAATTTTGATCGACAAATGACAAATAGGGGGAGAGAGCGAGCATGATTCATATATTATGTATACTTGTACAAGCAAACGATTGCACGAGCGAATGAATTAATGTGATAGGTATAATTATGGGATACTTACGAGCATAAGGGCTTCGCGGGTGGCTTTTATATCTACTTATACATAATATATTACCTACGTATACACCACAACGCGCGTTGACATTGTTTTGGGTTGCTGCTACCGCTCGTTCGTATAGTTTGCTGGTTCAGGAGATTTACCCGTCAGCGGATCATCAGCATCAGGAGGGCATCACGAAGACCCTCGGCAAGTCACGACCGACGACCGCCGGCAGTAAGATCAAGCAACAGGCTAGCCGGTTGGTCGGGCAATTGATGCGCTGCACGCCGCACTACATACGCTGCATCAAGCCCAACGAGACTAAAAGGCCCGGCGATTGGCACCAGGATCGCGTTCGCCATCAAATCGAGTATCTCGGCCTCAAGGAAGTACGTTTAACCGTAAATTATATACAAATAAGTTATTAATTATTATATATACAGCGATGATATATATGTAGGTGTATAATGTGGAATTATGTACAGAACATACGGGTGAGGAGAGCCGGGTACGCCTACAGGCGTCCCTTTGCTAAATTTATCCAGCGCTACGCGGCGATACTTCCACGGCAGGCGAGGTCGAGCTCGCGGGACGAGCGCCAGGAAGTCGAGAGGATACTCGCGAGCGCTTGCATTGACCGGGGACAATACCAGCTCGGCAGGACGAAGCTATTCATCAAGGCGCCCGAGAGTGTAAGCTGACGTCTCTTTTTTGTTTGTTTATCGTGTATGGGAGATAACTCCGCCACGTCCTCCCGGGGGAAAAAAATAAAAGACATCTCTGGCCGCGAATGCGAGTTTTCACCCAATGGATTCAACAAAATCAGGTGGAAATGACGTGTGCGAAAAATAATGTGTAGGTCTTTATGCTGGAGGAGGCGCGGGACCGCGAGTACAACATGCACGCCCGGGTGATTCAGAAGGCGTTCAAAAAGTATTTCGCCAAGAAACGCCAGGAGGCACGGAAGCAGGAGGCCGCCGATTTGTTTTACGGGCACAAGCAGCGCCGCAGGGCGAGTCTCAATCGCAACTTCGTGGGTGACTACATCGGTTTGGACATGAAGCCTAAGCTGCTCAATATTGTCGGCAAGCGGGAAAAAATCTTTTTCGCCGAAGTCGTCAAAAAGTACGACCGGCGCTTCAAGGTAATTCTTACCTGTGTATATTATTATTATTATTATTATTATTATTATTTTAGATATGATGAGCCATGTGTACGCGCGCGCACGTTCCAAGAAGAAAAATCTATTCGAGCGCGACTCCTTTGTCCCTCTGTTATATTATTATCTACTAGGTCACTGAAAAGTGAAACTTTATTTTACTGGAAGTCCCGATTGAATTGTTATACCCTGTACCGTACCTCCTCGTGGAATTATCTACGGTGAACTATTCGTCGAACTCGACAGTATGTAAGAAAAAAAATCAATAACATCACATCGTTACGTCTACATCGATTTTATTTTTATTTGTCTCGAGCATGGATCTACAAGGCCTCATATCATTAAGTTACAACCCAATCCTATTGAATGGAGCAATAAACATCTTTGTGCCCATGATGATAAAAGTATGTAGTAAGAACTCTTCGTTTGTATTCACCTGCTGCTAGCTCATGTTACGGTGTATTGTATATTTTTATATGCAGAATAAACAACCTGGCGTACTTATCCATCTCGAGCTAGAAGCCGCACGCACAATTTTTATAGAAGGAGATATTAAAACGCTTGACTTCCTGTTTTCTAAAACAACAATAAAGCCAAATTGTAATGTTCCTGTAAAGGAGTCCAAGGCTTGAATCGGCCATCATAATCTACACGCGTATAATGTAACAATTCACAATTCACAGTACGATAGTCGAGCGAGCTATATATTTTGTATATAGGCAAGTGAAAGCCCTCTATATATGTATACCTAGTTTATCATTCGGCGTACTCGCGCATTCTAAACTCGGCCGGGCGTGCCACGGATGTAAAAGTCGGCTTATCTCCTCCTACCGATCTGCCCGCTTCTCTCTCGTCGACGTCCAAGTACACTTATTTTTTTTTTAAGTATCAACTTCTTCATTTTCTTCATCGGCGTTGTCGTTTCATTGTCCCGCGCCGGATACTCATGTACCTATAGTTGTGATGCGTACTTACGTACGCGCAAAGTGCCCTGGTGACACAAATCAGCCTGTCGGGCATATTCAGCGGAATTATTTTTTTAATTACTTATTTAATCAATGTTTTTGCGTTTTCATGTACAGATGAGCCGGCGAGATCTGATTCTGACCGGCAAGTGCCTGTATCTGATAGGCCGGGATCGCCTGAAGAGGGGACCGGAAAAGGGCAAACTAGTCGAGGTGATCAAAAGAAAATTGCTCTTCGAACAAATCAGTCAACTATCACTCAGTACTATGCAGGTGAAACCCATATTAGATTTTAATACATAAAAAAAAAAAAAAAAACTCCTTTTTATTCAATTATTCTACTCCTTTTTATGGCATTTTTAGGATGATTTTGTGGTCATTCACACGAGAGAAGATTACGCCAGTTTTCTGGAATTAACTTTCAAAACCGAATTTGTTTCGATCTTTAATAAAAAGTACAGAGAAGTAGTGGGCCACGCGCCACTCATTAAATTTTCCAACAGGTATGAAACAAGTTTTTTTTTTTTTTTTTTCTTTTTTTTTATAAATGTGTGTCCAGCATTATAATATGTACGTCAACATTGTTTGTAACAAACACGTTCAGCATCGAGTTCAAAGTTAAAAAAGAAGGATGGGGCGGCGGAGGTACGAGAACCGTCAAATTCGTGCAAACAAACTCCGGAGACTTGGAAACGTTGAATGCCAGCGGAAAAATGCTCACCGTCAGCATTGGTCCCGGCTATCCATCCAACACCAGTAGGTCCATTGTGTGTTGTCCTGCTCCTTCTCGATAAATGAAACGTGTCGTGTGACAAAACTCTCGCTTGCAGAGCCAGGATCGGTATCGTCCGCGCGAACGGTCTACGGCCGTTCAACTGGAATACAACATCGTGGTGCCGCTCCCCCGATGCGAAGCCCTAGTCATCCCGCGGCAAGTCAACAGCAGCAGAATCGATATGAAAACGTCTCTGTGATTTCGAGGTCGCAACATGAGCCCCAAACGCAACCGGGACCCCCCAACGGTTGGTCGGGTCCATCGGCAGCTAACCGATCTCAGCTGCAGCAGACCATCAGCGAGGCTCCGTCGGCAAAGGTAATGCCCGGCAGATTGCCCGCTGGGTGCGTTCCGATCATGGGCATGTATGCACAGCCTACCAAGAATCCTAGAGGTGAGAGGAGGGTCGATGTCGTTTTATTACTTTTCTGCATCTACTTAAAAATGAAAAAAAAAAAAAAAAAAAAAAAAAAAAAAAAAAAAAAAAAAAAAAAAAAAAAAAATCACACCGTTGCACGGGCAAACGTGTCGTCTCTCCGTCAGCTGACTTTCATTCGGTGCCAATGCATATAAGTATAATAGACACAGGACATCGGTAGTGGCAGGTGTTATTGTCTGTTCCAAGCCTGCATGCACAACACTCGCGGTTTGATCGCTTTTTCATGGCATAAGTCTATAAAGTATAGGTAAGTATACCCAATAGTTAATTATCGGTGCATTGGTAAGTAAGTACAAGGCCCAAGGAGCAATCAAGTGCGCAGCCGGCAGCTGATTTTTCCCACGTCCTATTTCTTTTCCTCCCTTGGCTCCGGCAATCTGTACAACTACATCATTACAAGTAACCCCCACTGCACCTTATACGTATCCACATCATTTCACTTTTTTTTTTTTTTTTTTTTTTTTTTCTTCTTCTTCACCACCGCTCACCGGTGTTAGTTGTCTTCAATGTTACTTCTCTACAATGCTCTATATAAGTATATCCTTGTATCGAATCGAAGATTGCGAGGAATCAATGAAGGAAAGAAATTAATAGTTATGACGTAGGTGCCCGAGCAATTGTGAACAGTGTGTAACAGTGACTTGTATGGTGATGGCGCGCCAAAAAAAAGAGCCGGCTCTGGGCGCGCGACACAACGCAACAGACAGACAATCGGACACGAGTCGGCCGTCCGCGTGCCGCGGATCGAGTGAAGGTAGATCTCACAAAGTCTTATATCCCTAATAGAATACACGTATACATATACACCAACAGCCGAGCGGTATATATATATATGTCCATAGCTATATATACAACAGTCTCCCTCCCCCACTCCGTCCCGCGGGCGCGCGCCGTGTAAAAGACACGCGCGCGCTCTATGGATATGTATATATACATACATACCCTATATGCATTTGATGATGTACCTCCCACTGAGCCCGCGTGTTCGCGAGACCACCCCCCACCCTTTCCCACCTCCTACTGTCTATGTATACCCCTACCTAATATACTTACTTCTTGGTTGCAGCTTTCCCGCGGCCGCGCGTGGCTCCTTCGCGGCTTAGGTATATACCTGTAAAATATACATATATTCATAAGTACATATACAAGTATCCAGTCCAACATATCTTTTATATATAGTTCTCGCCTTTCGGAACAGGGAAGGAGAGTCGTGTGGAACAACTACACTATGCGCTTTTCCTTCCGGACAAATTCCTTCAGGAATTTTTGTGTACATTCGTCGCACCTCGGAGCACCAAGCGTACATCGTCGGGCTAATTTATTTCAATAACTATACATACGTCACGACGAAAAAACACCATACCTTTGTCGACTTTACCGAGCATGTAGCTCACCGTTATCCCCCTCTTTTTTTTTCCTTTTTTTTCCTTTTTTTTTTTATCATTCTTTGACTCGCAGCCATGGTAAACTATAATTTTTCTCCCAAGGATGGCTACTGTGAATTTATTTGTGCTTGCAATAAGATGAATCAACGAATGAGCAAAACTCGAGATTACCTTTACCCATCCATACCTATATACGTACATGACATGTAGTCACTTGTAAATCTGTGTATATATATATGTATATATAAAATTCTGTAACGCGTAGTACATATTATAGTGTTATATTATGGGTTCAAACTTGATTATTACTCCGCCATCCTGCGGGACGTCGGTATGGTGGAAAAAAGCCGTGAGCCAAGTACCTACAATAAATCGATAAATCGTACTCACTCTGCACCTACTGATTTCCTGCAATGGAGCTGGTAGGCGAGTTTTCAAGTTTGCGACGAAAAAGGAAATTATTTTTATTTCAGCGCACATTATTTATACAATAAGTATTTTAGGTAATTACCTACATTTACAGTGGGGATTTTTTTTAAAACTGGTCAGGGTCACCACACCACCACTACTGGCAAAGATCTATGCATCAACTCAAGTATTCTTCGCAGTAAGCGGAAAATTTACGCAATGGCTCAATCAGCTCGCGAGATCTATTTGAAAGTAAACAGCACGTATACATTTCGTTTATTACCCTTGAATGATAAAATTTGCATTTTTCAAAATTTAATGGTACATAATTATTATTATTATTATTATTATTATTATTATTATACCTACGCATTGTCAAAGAGGCGCACGTTATAATTACTGATGCAATCCACCCAGCAGGCGCTGCAATAAGCCGCTCTTAATTAATTTTTAAATTTGAAAATTCATTACAAGCTCCCCGAAAATTAGCATACCTACTTATCCGGCGCGCTTCAACCTTTTGCATTTAAGATTGAGAAAGTTTCAAAAGAGGATTAAAGAATTTTCTCTGCTGCGGAACAATGATTCATCTTTTTCTCCCGTAATGAGCCAGCTCTCCGAATTAAATGCACCATTGTTGAGCAAGTCCTCTTTTCTTTTTAACAGTTGATGGAAAAAAAAAAAAAAATAATNTATTCTAAATAAACTTTTTTTTTGAGAAAATTATTCTTTTGTTTTATTCATTTTCAAGAATGTTCATACCTTTCATGATTAATTTTTTATGTAATATTGGACATACAATGAAACAAACTATACAATGATAATTAATAAGTGATATAACCGATAGATAGTACATGGAATAAAAATACTGAGGTTTTTTGTCAAATCCCACCATCAAATTGTGCAACAGCATCTTTAAGTACTTGTTTCTAAAAGGTACGCGCATGGCTTTACAACATAAAATCATCAAGTAATGTACATACAGTATATTTATACTATATTTATTATATCATATAATATATTTATATTCCGCGCTTTAAAAGCATTATACCTATTTACTTGAAAAAAGTTAATTGCAAAAGGTTTCGGAAATGAATCCGGCTTCTTACCATAAGACTTAAGAATTTATGTACATAAAGAACTGCAGTCTACATACATAATGTGAATCAGAAATGAAATGAGTATTGCAATGTATAACTGAGCATTTTTATTGCACCTATTTTGATCGCTTTCGTCGTAAGTTGCTTGTGTTACTTGAAGAATAGAAAAAAAAAAATAGCACGTCACAAGTCTGCGATAATTATACACATATGGCACGAGTTCGAGTATGTGAGTTGATAGACTAACTTTGTAATTACAAATAGTAGTAATGAACAACATTTAACTTTAATTTAAATGATTTTTTTTTTTTTCCAAGTAAAAAACAGTGAGATCCAACGATTAAAAAAGCCAACTGATTTTTTATACGTCAGATTTCTTTCCACAGCTATTGTGTTTTGAATTTCAATGTATCAAACGTGAAAAAAATTCCTTTCAATCAGTTGTCAAATAACAAAAAATTCGATTACTTAAAAAGTTTAATAATAAGTAATGAAAAATATATAAAAGTGCTCTTTTTTGTTCTTGTAGAAGAAAACAAATACAACGTTGTACGGTTTCAATCACGTGACGTCTTTAAAACGCATCGTTATGCATTAACTTTTAAAAGCTCAATGTCACTTTTTCTTTGGCAATTCTACAGCATATTTGAGACGCATCTAAAAATTAAGCATAATAGTTATAATACTATTTCTGTTTTCAAAAATGTTAATGACGTACTGACCTTAAATTTTCGAACAATTTTTAATAAAACGACTAAAATCCCTTATTGAATAACACAATTCTTATTTCGTTGTGCTAATCCAGCTCGAGATAAATCACGTTCGATCTCATCATCATCTTCGATTCTATAAAAAAATTTGATTATCATCTTGAAGAACTTGGAGACTAATAATGGGTGAGCACATAAAAGTGAATACGCATAAATTAATAAAATGATGCAACTTACGCTCGTTCTTGAGTATCGAGGTGATGAACAAGTTCATCCCTTTTGTTAACAATTGACACTAACTCTTCGAGTAAAAGATTCTCTCGAACTTTTTGTTCTGTTGTCTTCTGCCAATCTTCTACAGCCAATATGCTCCGCAATTCTCGATTTAAAAGTTCAAATCTCCTTTCCAAGTCATCTTCTTTTTCCCTGAGATTGAAGATTAAAATTAGATTTTCAACTCAATTCTGCTACACTATCAAGTTCGATGATGTAATTTTTACGGCTGACCGATAACTTACAGAATATTTAATTGCATTTGTCTTCTTAAAAGAGCATTCTTTTTGTTGACAAGCGTAAACCACAATGCCATTAGTCGTTCAGTTTCTTCCTCATTGTCGCTTTCCATTGCTGCTCTCAGTTGCTTTTCAAGTTTTCCTGCTTGAATATCTATTTGGCTCTGCTCCCGTTCAAGAGCTTCCAATTCATTTTGAATATAAGACGACATGTCTTTCCCCAACTACAGCAATGAAAGATTATTCGTGAATCAATAGAAGATTGGACAAAAAAAATTGTTTGTAAAATAGTTACCCCTCTTCGAGTGAAAGGACCACTATCGGGACTTTTTTCCGGCGATATTCTTTCTATAATTTTCGAAAACGAATAGAGTGAAGAACTGATTTTTTTCTCGCTATCGGGTGTCATCGCATCTCTCACAATATTTCCATTACACTCTGACTGAAATCACAATTATAGAAAAGTTATACTTGCACAATTTCCATCAAACTTTGAATTAATTGCTCCCTTGGCTTACTTTAACACTAATTCGTTCGCCAGGAGTCGAAGGCGTCATACTTCTTCTAGGACTATTGTTTTGATCATCGATGGACTGTCTACCACTGGAGTTTTCGTCACCAGCTTGACTAGTGTTAACGACGCCCATTCTGGCTTCTGCAATCAATTTTCTCGCTCTTTCGCGTAGCTGCTGCTGCCGTTCCTCCTCATTCTGGCGGTATAATTTTTTTTTTTTTAGAAAAATTTGTGTTATTATACATAGGTAATTGATATTTTTGCTGAAGAAATTCAATACACTAGAAATTAAAAAAGGCATGCAATCTGGACGAAAAATTTCAAAAACCAAGGATATAATTATGTCAGAGTTGACGACTAAGGAAGGGAAAATAAAAAACAAACCTCAACAGGACTTGTGGCAGTGGAACCAATACCAGAGACTTTTGACTGATTTCTAGCTTGTTTTAAGAGTTTCCTGGCTCTTTCTTTAAGTTCTTCATGTCGGGTCACTAAGGGCTGTTTACGTAAAAGCGCAATAATTAAAGTGAAGGGAATTGCTACACACGTACACACACACGTCTACTGTGCGATCAATGCAGAAAAAAACAGCAAAACAAACAAAAAAAAATAATGAAGCAAAAGACAAATTTATTTACGTGCTGCATCCTCGACTGCGACTCGTCTCGCAACGGTGACATACCCCTGCCCTCGGAACTCCCTCGGCTCCCACGGTCAAAGGACTGTACTGAATCCTAAAAGCAAATATATATTCAGTTTTTCCATATATTACAGCAGTTAATAAAAATCAACGGTGCAATTTCTATATTTAATTCAATTCAAACGAAAAAATTTTCGAATCCTAAATCTGTAAAGCAAAATCATGGTCAAGCAATAAATCAATACAACTAGTGCTAAATGAAAATTAAACATTAATATGATAACGTTTTGAACAAAAAATATTAAGATAAAATTAAAAAAAAAAAAAAAACAAGTTAAGAACATTTTTCAATTCAACGCTGTGCAATATACACAAAACTACTTCAAACTTTAGGAACATGCTTCAGTCAACACTCGTTCAAATCAATTACATGAAAAAAAAAAAAATAATAAAAAAAAAAAATAAAAAACATGAGCAATCGATAAAGGTGCCAGTTACACGATGATCTTTTATACATTCAGTTTCACATTGCATGCAAGTTTGCACTTTTACATGCATACTGACGTCTCGTACGGGAGTTTGCGATTTTGAGACAGGATTTGATGGAGGATTATTTTCAACCACTTGTGTTTTCTCCTCTTCTTCTTCCTCATCATCTGAGCCAAATGGGTCGGTCAATTGTCGTCGTGTCATCAGAATAGGACGAGCCTGTTGAGGCTGTTGGGGTTGTTGTGGATGTATTTGCTGTGGCTGAGCTTGCAGTGGAGTTTGCAATGGAGTTTGCGGTGGGGACTTACTCTAAATTATAGTTATTCACATTGTGTACACTTGCACTTAAAATTCAGTTGGTTCTTAATTTTTGTCGAAAATTTCACGGAAATTTTTATCCATTCGTATTTTTGAAAATTTTTTATTTATTATTGTTCGTCAGAAAAGTAAAAATTTTACCTTTTCTCTTGTAGCATGTTGTTCTTTGGTGAATTTTTCTTTGCTGGGCGACAAAACTTTTCCAAGAATACTTTTTGAACTTGCAAAAATCATATCTTTCACTTCTTTGACACTAGAGGGAGATTTTTCTCTGTTGAACGGGTCATCTTGATGATCGGTGTTCAAACTGAGATGTAATCTGTTTCTTAAGGATGCCGTATCTTCTTTTTTTGTATGATCAAATGGATTCAATCTGGGTGTGTATAAAATTTAACATAAAATACTATTAAAATCACATGTGCTGCAACCTTTACAAATGTTTCAATAATTTCGACTGCACTCACCGTCTACTGTTGTCGGTTTTGTTATTACGTTGCTCTGCTAGTTCTCTTTTCCTTAAATTCATTATCTCCTGTCCAAACAATTGTACACTCACATCTGAATTATTATCGGTATTGAATCGGCCGATCATGTAAGACGATTCGTCCGCAGTTTTGCCGATTTGATGCACCTGAGGAATTGAAGAATGAAAAGATCAGGGTGAAAAAACGCATCCCAACACGTATGGTTTCAGAGCTTAAAAAGTATAGATCGTAAGTACCTCCAGCTCGTGGCCCGTGAAGTGAGCTCGCAACTGATATAAATAGGTCATCACAGCAAGCTTATCAGGTACTGTCAGAATGTCCATATCCGCGGGTTCAATAACTCGGGGTATGCCAAGGGCTTCACCGGCATCAAACGCTCTTTTGCAGTTGCCTTTAACATCGTGTGGCAGCAGAGAATCAAAGTCGCTGTATAAAACAACAAAATGTATGTAAGGTAAGAATAAATGTAGACGAATTGTAATGGACCGATTAATGATTACGAGTGTTCAATAAACTTACATGAGATCTGGCCGAAAATTATGTATAACGGCACAAAAGGCCATTCCGTTGCGCCAGGATGTCGTTAAGTTAGTGACCTTGACGCTCTGGTAATCTCGAGTCACCTCCTTACACCACTCGAGTAGATCCTGGCCCGGTGTTATATCTCGCATCCGATGGCTAGTTGTATTTGTCTTTTTGAGATCAAGTGGCCGTAATGATAACCTTGTTGCTAGGCTGCCATCCGAATTTTTACTATACAACGATTTATTTTGTAGGGTATTAAATTGAGGAAAAAAAACATAATAAAAGAAACAGCGCGTCAATGCTCTTGAAAATTGTACAGGAGCTTTAAATAAGTAAGTAATACCCACTCATTTTGCAGCAATTCATTATTAATGCTCGACTCTTTGACCGCGTCGGCGCTATCCCTGGTAAAACTAAAGTCTCGAGGAAACCGTTTTGGCTCTTCGATTATAGGTGTCGTTTCGTCTCTCGTTAAGCTCGCAACTGTGAAAATAATAATAAAAAGAAATAAATAAATGTTTCCCGTCACTGAATCCATCAATCAATATTTTTCCAAGAAATCACAAGTAGTTACTTACCGCTTATAGGAGTACTGGGTATGTCGTTCTCCGTGAGACTACTCGTCATGAAGTCCAATTGAGCCGAGATGTCGAGTATTTCATCGAGATTTCTAATGGAGACCTCTTCGACATCTTCCGGTATTTCTTCGTTGTCAAAGTCATCCAGAGGTGCGATATCACTATTGTTGTTGACGGACATCAAGCTCGCCATGCTCTGCATGTCTTCGTCCCTAATAGGAGCATGAGCGCAAAAATAAAGATATATTTTCAAGTATCAAAAAACGCCAGCTGTATGTACTATGTACTTGGATGGTACGCGCAAAAATATTTGTAACAAAAATCACAAGAACAACAATGACGGCTCTATAAATTTGTTAATCTGCTGCTGTTGGATCAAAAGAGAGACCGAGCGAGAAATGAAGAAGCAAAGAGAGAATTAATTAAAGAGGACGTCTGAGTAAGACTTACGTCGCCTTGCCTTCCCTGAGGAAGACGCATGATATCGTGCACTCAAGTGTAGCGCTGACAATCTTCTTCGAAGTGGGCTTTAGGTCCAATTTGAGCTGCTGCTGACTAGACTCGAGACTCGCGTATTTTTTCATGTTTACGTTGAGGGCCGCCACATGCCGTCGCTTGCCCGTAGTCGAAATCTATTTTTTTTTATCGTCATCGTTATTATCATTTCAAATTATTTTTACAACGTTGCTTTTAGTGTTCGATACGTCGAATCGCGTAATCGCGTTTGCACGTGCATTTTAGAAAATTATATGAAAAAAAAAAAAAAATAAAAAAAAAAAATCTGTATCCGACTTTTATCGGAAATTATTTACATAATAATAGGTATGAGTCAAGAAATAAAAGTAATGGATGTATAACAAACAAAAACAACGTTGTTACTCGTATCGAGAAGCCACACGCGCCCGCTCTTACATTATTACTCCGTTGTGGTCACTGTATACCTTGAGAAAAATCTATTTTCGCGTCACATTATTGAATTATACCTATTGTATAAATACGTTTTGTTTTTGTGCGACATAAACTGCTGGTTGCGTGGATGACGCGTGTTTTCGACCATTACTTTTATTTATTTCGACATTATTTTTTGTTTTACTTCTCAACATGGGAAAAAAAAAAAAAAAAAAAAAAAATAAATAAATAAATAAATAAACAAAAAAACCTCGATACGTACATCTTCAATGACGAAGGTCCAGTCTTTGTCTTCGAGCTCGTGGGTTCTCGGGTCCTTGAAGAGGGTCACGGAGACCGTGTGGTTGTCCGGGACGGACCAGCTCACCGTACCCCTCATCGGATCGCTCAGGCTTGGCTCCCACTCCATGGGCTCCGTGCTCACCCGTCGACTCCTCCTCGTCCACACTACGCTCAGCTTGTTCGGTTTCCTGACGCGCAACACGTTATTATGGCTTTTTTTTTCTTCATTTTTTTACAGAGACCAGGTACATGCATGTCATGTCAATCACGCAAACGGATAAAATTAACTGTTTTCATTGAAACGACAAACTTGTCTCAAGGCTCGTTATCGGCGTTCACCGGACGATATACCTCACGTATGTGGGGGACAAAAATGGTACATTTTCGTGGGTTTCCTCATATGCTTAAAGCGTATCCGCGAAATTACTTATTTATTCAATTTAAACGACAAGCTAGGTGCAACAATGACGCAATAAAACAAATATAGGTAGGTGCATCTGTCGTATACATAATGTATGTATGCATACATTGACGTAATAATGAGGCACACGATGTCAAAAGGCCTCCTTTTTCTCAATAATATTAGGTACATACCTTTGGGAAACAAAGGGATGAGACCGTCACTTTTTTCGTTTCGTGGAAGTTCGCGCGACCGAAATTTTTTTCAAACCTTTTTAAATGAAAATTGCCCAAGACGAGGGAAACTTTCTCGCTTTTTTTTAGGAGATTAATTTACCTTGACGCGAGCAAGATACACACATTTATCCATACATCGTACACTTATTGTCTCGGAAGAAAATAGATCGAGAGTATATAGGTAAACATTATAATAATATCGCATTACTCGCGTCTGACCCGTTATAGATAAAATAAAGAAAAAAAATTAAATATTTAATACTCAAGTGTTATTAATCGAAGAAACATAATTTCGTGGCAGCAGTATAACTTTTTTTCTTGTTTTCAATTGGATTAAACTCTCGAATGAATTGACGGCGAAGTTTGTGAGGTGATACAAAAAAAAAAAAAAAAAAAAAAAAAAAAAAAAAAAAAAAAAAAAAAAAAAAAAA